ATTTGCCGACATGTTATTGACTAAATAGATTTTTTTTTTTTTTTTTTTTTGAGAATGAGGAAGGTGAGAAATATTTTGGTTTTAAAGTTGTTATGTAATATTAAGGTGTGTACTGATGCCTGTCTGTAGACGGACAGGTCACGTTATCGTGAAATATAAAAGACAAATAATGTTAGCATTCTGTCAGGATCATTTTTTACTGCTAAATTTTTTTAAACAAAATATATGCGCTGACAAATCTATTTTCAAACTTTACTGAAAATTTTGTATAACAGATATTTCCGTTAATATATATTGTGAACATTTCAAGGCAGTAACGTAGACAAAACTGTACCCAGTGTAACTAATGGTCTTACAGTATAAGATATGTTTTAGTACTGTATCATTCATGTATCCAATGTATATTATGATGTATATAATATAATATGCTGTATTTTTTGCACGTGTAAACGGCATTATTGTGTAATCTTCAGTAGCCTAGCATATATATATATGTAAACACTAAACAACACGTTCGATTCTCCGTGGCAGGACGGAAATGTTTGGGCAACATTTCCTTTCACCCGATACCTCTGCTCACCTAGCAGCAAATAGGTACCCAGGCAAATTTTGTGGGCTACAATATGAGGAAGGTCAGCATGTGGCCTAGAACGACCTTACTCCTGATGACTCTGTTCACCCAGCAGTAAATAGTTGCCATGGAGTTAGGGATCTGTTGTGGTGTGCATCCAGTCGTTCCTAATGAGGTCACATGGCACCGTATGAGGTAGAGGCATGTCATATGACGTCATGTGGACATGTCACGTGACATCACCCTGTATCCAAATAGTGCAAGAGCTTGCATACAACATTGCAAAATACATAACCCAAACTATATATTGCACAATGAAAATGTTGCATTTGAAATATTGAAGCGTTACGTGTATCTGCAGCTGTTCAGCAACTTGCACAGCTGTTTTGTACTTGTACAACTGTTCAAGAACTTGAACAGCTGCTCTATAGCAATGCCATATCAACAAAATGATGTAATTAATATAATTTAACAATAACACGAGCAACTGAGCATGCTGGTGAGGGTTCACTACTCATCAGGATTGTCACAGAAAACGGGAATCATATAAATAAAACCTCCTATAATAATATTTTCTTTCGGACGACATTGACAAGTTATAGAGTTGGCTGAGAACACAATAAATATTACGATTTGATTATGGAAGCATCAATTATACTATCCAAACACATGACCGGGAGCTGAAATATCGATGTATTTTTATATTCTATATATACTTTCATATTATAATTATATATAATTATACTGGTTGCTGTACCGACCAGTTCATCCATTTGGCTTGGTCTGCACAACGTCGGTGTTTGATTCCCCATGGCTTATGAATACTCGTATGCCGGCTCCTTGTCATCATATCCAGGTCCTGCATGGTCGTTTTGCTTAACGCTTTCTTCTCATAATTATCTCAAGCCAACGCTGACCATTCTGGACGAAGTTAAGATACAGCTTAAGAACATAAGAATATAAGAATAAAGGTAACTGCGGAAGGCCTATTGGCCCATACGAGGCAGCTCCTATCTACATACTTAAGCTGCTCTATTCTTCTGGGATTATATTGACTTATCTTAGTAAACTTACTTGAAGGACGCAGGTAAAGTTCACGTAAGTTTAGATCAAATATATTTTAAAATGATACTGGAGCTTAGGCTACTTGTATCTTCCGGCAGATTAGGTTATTCTCAGGAGAAAGCACTAAGCCAGTATGACTATATAGCATCTGGTAGGGATACGAGAACAGAATAGGTAATCTGTCCTTTCGAATAATTCATCGTATTTTGACGTGCAAATCCCCAACGTTAATATATGATGTACTATAGATCAGTGCGGCTCGCTAAATTGATGGTGGTGTTCCGTTTTTCTATTCGCTGGTCCTCGGTTAGGTTCAGGCAATTTAGTACAATATTTTTGTGACGTTGTAACAACTGGAGAGGAGAGGCTGGAGCAGGAGCTGGGGTGAAGGAACGGTGTCTGATCACTTGAACCGCCGATGCCGCAAGCCTGGACGCTCTCGTTCTACCGTTGAATGACTTTTGTCCTATCGTCGGCCCGAGTGGGTTAAGCCAGGTGTCTGGGAATCACCAGAACGCCGGTTCAAGTCACCCCTCATTGTCCCAGATGATTTTTTTGTTCTCACTGATATATCACGCCGGATATAGTGATTGTATTAATTTAATATTTATCATTATTGTCAAAATTAGTATTATTACAATTAATAAAGCGGTGTTTCATTCTGTACTGGGGAGTAGGGTGTGGGATTCGAGTGGGGGAGGGAGGGGTACCTCCCCCATAGAACAATACCGATGATCTCTCTGATGACAGGTTGCTGGCGAGCGCCTCCAATCGACATTCAATTTGCCCACTGTAAACACCCATTACCAGTGGTCACTGTAAACACCCATTACCACTGGTCACTGTAAACACCCATTACCAGTGGTCACTGTAAACACCCATTACCACTGGTCACTGTAAACACCCATTACTACTGGTCACTGTAAACACCCATTACCAGTGGTCACTGTAAACACCCATTACCACTGGTCACTGTAAACACCCATCACCACTGGTCGCTGTAAACACCCATCACCCCTGGTCACTGTAAACACCCATCACCACAGGTCACTGTAAACACCCATTACCACTGGTCACTGTAAACACCCATTACCACTGGTCACTGTAAACACCCATCACCACTGGTCACTGTAAACACCCATCACCCCTGGTCACTGTAAACACCCATCACCACTGGTCACTGTAAACACCCATTACCACACTCGCGGCCGCCGGCAAGCGAATTTGTTGTAAATATCCGCTCAAGCCGAAGTGGGTGAGAAGGTACGCGCTCTTGAGTCATGGTTGGCGCATGTGAGGGTTGTTGTTATAGATTCAGCTACTGGAAACCAAAAGTTGCAAGTAGCACGGGCTATGGTGAGCCCGTAGTGGACTTACCTGGCACAGGAGCGGGGCTGTGACTTGTTTCTCCCCCTTGTATGTGAGGGGGTTGTAGGCACACAAGGATGTCAGGTGGTCAGATGTTGGCATCATGTGATCATGATGTCAACATCTGACCAGCAACACAGGCCAGGGATCCCAAGGCAGGACTCATCACACAACCACTTACGAAAACTGTATATCTTTCCTTAATCATTGCGGATTTGTTTAAATTTATTAAGCAGTTTACAAGTTTGGACACATCACAACCTAATTAGGTTATTGTTGTTATAAACAACATCGTGGCGTTTTGGATCTCAGGACGATTAAATGCAAACACAGCCGCCATGATTGAGAAAAGATGTACTGGCTTTGTTAATTGCTGCGTAAATGTAGCGGATGAAGATACAGTGAATAAAGTCAACAATATCTGCCGCTCGGAAGCACCGAACTTACTTTACTAAGCAAAGTCCGACAGTGGCTTTATTAAATATGTATTTATGTAATTACTGAGTTAATAACTGTATAATGTTCTTCTATATATTTTTTAATTAATTAATAATAATAATAATATTATTATTATTATTATTATTGTTATTATTCGAATATAAATGTACATAAGTACCCTTGAGTGTTGTTATTGATACGACGTCATCAGTGGGATCCTGTAAAGGTGCTTTCATCTGTGCGTTTCTTTAAATTCACTTTAATCGATGCGTTCTTGTCAGTGTATTAATTTAAGTCGGACCTCAACTGGTTTTCGTGGAATTTGTGTATGTTGTTTGGTACGACCTTCGGCGGGTCAGGAGAGGTCATGGTCCGTTGCGCTCCAGGCTCTGAGGTGGGCGTGGGCAGTGACTCGCGGTGTGGGCGTGGGCAGTGACTCGCGGTGTGGGCGTGGGCAGTGACTCGCGGTGTGGGCGTGAGCTGTGACTCGCGGTGTGGGCGTGGGGCGTGACTCGCGGTGTGGGCGTGGGGCGTGACTCGCGGTGTGGGCGTGGGGCGTGACTCGCGGTGTGGGCGTGGTCGATGCCTTAAGCCGGGTAATGGACAGGAATGTTGTCTTGAGAGTGAGGATGATGGACCTGCCTGCTTGGTCTGTCATCCGTGTAGGATCATTCTGCTCCCCTGTGCTCGTCGTGCTGGTCAGAATGTACGTTACTGCCCGTCGTGTGCTCGACCTCGCTCGGTCGAGCACACTGCGGCGTAGGCGTCGACCGGTCATCTGGTAGTGGAAGTGAAGGATTGCCAGAGTTCTTAGAGCACTGAACCTCCCTCCAGGTGGGCTGTATAATGGCCTACCACACGTCAGAGGAGAGAGAGAGAGAGAGAGAGAGAATGAGAGAGAATGAGAGAGAATGAGACGCTGAATGCACAACCACTGCATATGATACCTTAGAAGAACAAATGAGACACCACATGAAGGAAGACAGCTCGTCCTCCAAACAAAGATCCAAAAGTGATTCCATGCACCCGCCAAACCCCCTGTTTATGAATGAAAAGCGGTTTACACACGACTCACAACTGCTGATGTTCGAACATATCCGGAACAAGTGCTTCACTGACGAATTTTGTTCGAATCACAACGCTATAAATGCTTCACCCACGTACTACAAATACAAATAATCACCAACAGAACCTAAACACCTAACCTAACCTAACCTATGCCTATTTATACACAATATGCTAATATATTATAATATTAATTTATACTTGAGAAAATTCCCGTTTTGAATGAACAGCATGTTAAAATATATGAATGCGTCTGTGGGGTTGACCGCTGGATGTAATGGACTTGAGTCGAGGACGGGTTGAGGAAGAACACCAACACATCAAGAAAACATTAGAACAGACATACAGACTCAAAGATACGTAGACATAGAGGCAAAGATATACGCACACACACACACACACACACACACACACACACACACACACACACACACACACACACACACACACACACACACACACACACACAGTTCGTATCCTCACCTGGCCGTGTTTGTCCATCTCGTTGTTGGTGAGTTTGACTTTCTCGAAGGAGACGATCTGCTTCTTGAGTTGGTCGCCGGTGTAGGGAGAGTCTGGGTGAGCGTAGAGCCTATAGGGCGGCGGTGGGTCGGCCTTTCCTGCCACCAGCCACGAGGACCGGTGGTACGCGTACCTGTGACAACACTTGTTATAGTGACCCTGACTGACAACACTTGTTATAGTGACCCTGGCTGACAACACTTGTTATAGTGACCCTGGCTGACAACACTTGTTATAGTGACCCTGGCTGACAACACTTGTTATAGTGACCCCTGGCTGACAACACTTGTTATAGTGACCCTGGCTGACAACACTTGTTATAGTGACCCTGGCTGACAACACTTGTTATAGTGACCCTGGCTGACAACACTTGTTATAGTGATCCTGGCTGACAACACTTGTTATAGTGACCCTGGCTGGCAACACTTGTTATAGTGACCCTGGCTGACAACACTTGTTATAGTGACCCTGGCTGACAACACTTGTTATAGTGACCCTGGCTGACAACACTTGTTATAGTGACCCTGACTGACAACACTTGTTATAGTGACCCTGGCTGACAACACTTGTTATAGTGACCCTGGCTGACAACACTTGTTATAGTGACCCCTGGCTGACAACACTTGTTATAGTGACCCTGGCTGACAACACTTGTTATAGTGACCCTGGCTGACAACACTTGTTATAGTGACCCTGGCTGACAACACTTGTTATAGTGATCCTGGCTGACAACACTTGTTATAGTGGCCCTGGCTGACAACACTTGTTATAGTAATCCTGGCTGACAACACTTGTTATAGTGGCCCTGGCTGACAACACTTGTTATAGTGGCCCTGGCAGACAACACTTGTTATAGTGACCCTGGCTGACAACACTTGTTATAGTGACCCTGACTGACAACACTTGTTATAGTGACCCCTGGCTGACAACACTTATTATAGTGACCCTCCTGACAACACTTGGTTGTTCCTAGGTCACAACACTCCCTGCTCTACCCCTTACAACACACGTAAACCTACCAGCAACAGAAGTAAACTTAACCTAAGTAAATCTAAGTAAACCAGCAAGTTAGGAACACCAGTATACCCACCAGCAACACCAGTATACCCACCACCAACACCAGTATACCCACCACCAACACAAGCTAGCTAGCAACAACGCATGTTTTGCAAATCAGAGAGACACCTTGTTATCAGACCTGTGACAACACCTGTGTATTGTTAATCTATGTGGTGTACTTGTGTACATATGTTTACACAGGTGTTCTCTCTAGTGTGCTAACAAGCGGTTGTACACGATCATCTCTTTCCCTTCTCTCATCCCTCTGTTGCACACACACATGCACGCACGTGTGGCTACATGTGTTTAATCACACTGTGTGTGTGTGTGTGTGTGTGTGTGTGTGTGTGTGTGTGTGTGTGTGTGTGTGTGTGTGTGTGTGTGTGTGTGTGTGTGTGTGTGTGAGGGTGTGAGAGAGAGGGTTGTGTGTGTGTAGGTGTGGGTGTGTATGTGTGTAGGTGTGGGTGTGTATGTGTGTAGGTGTGGGTGTGTATGTGTGTAGGTGTAGGTGTGGGTGTGTGGGTGTGTGGGTGTGTGTGGGTGTGTGTGGGTGTGTGTGGGTGTGTGGGTGTGTGTGTGTGTGTGTAGGTGTGTGTGTGTGGGTGTGTGTGTGGGTGTGTATGTGGGTGTGTATGTGTGTGTGTGTGCGTGTGCGTGTGAAAGAGCTTGAATGCCACAAAACATAAATCACTCTGGAATCACTTTGAGTGATTCAAATAAATCACTTTGCGCTACCACTCACATCCTGTGAGCGGTAGCGCAAAAAAGATTACGGAGTGCACAAAAGGTTTTAACAGACCCCAGCAGAGATTTTTACATTAATAATTACATCTAATCTGCACACACACAATTATGTTGTCAGCTAGTTATGGGACTTTTTTCATTACAGTATCTCTGTATTTACAATAAATATACATTGATGGTAGGTCTTTTGCTAACACATAAACTCTATGTATAGTGATTTTGCTAACGGGGGAAGGGCCCTTAACCTCTGAGAAGAGAACATATGGCACCCGGGAAAGCTTTCTGTGACGCATCTGAGAAGGGTGACCTGGCCGACCACAAGACGTACCTGTAACGTTTGTTATCGACGGGAACAATGTCAAGGAGGACTGCGTAGCGCTGCTCCGACTTGAGACCCGTGAAGGAGGCTCGAACGGTGGGGAACATCCGCCTGAGGGAGACACAGTAGCACGTCAGAGGAAGTCACTCATATATTAATAAGAAAAAACAAATAGGAGATAACCTAGTTCAAATGGGGGAGTTATTTTGTCAAACAACAAAAAAACAAAAAAGATAACCATATATTACCTAGAAAAATAAATTAGGGATAATTTCATTGGTTGGTTAACATGGGGTAAAATCTAATCTCAAAATATCAATCATAAATAGGTATGACATAAGAGGATAACCTCTTGATTTGTTAAACTAGATTAAGTAACAATACTGAAACCAAATTATTGTATTATCATCCAAATGGTTAAAATGATGATCTTGTAATGGGTTAAACTGCCTACTGGACTTCTAATACACTAAACTGCATCAATAACAGTGTTAAAAAAGTTGAATGAGTTAAAAATACGAAAATTAATTTATAATGAAGTATAATGGGGGGCAAAGAGGATAATACTTTGGTGACCCATTTAAATATACTAATTACATCTTAACGGGTTAACCAACCAATTGAACTGGTTGGTTCAGCAATAGCCCCGCTTGTTGCAGGTCGGCGTTCGATCCTCGACGGTCCAAGTGGTTGGGCACCAATCCTCCCTACCCTTCTATCCCAGAGCATTCACCCAAAGTCCCTCCCAAGTGCTGTGTAATGGTACTGGCTTAGCGCTTTCTCTTTATAATTACCTAACCCTCGTAATAGGTTAGGTGATATACTTATATATATATATATATATATATATATATATATATATATATATATATATATATATATATATATATATATATATATATATATATATATGTTGGTATTATATAACCAAAGAACTCTTCTCCATGAAGGATTCGAACCTTAGAAAAAAACAAAATATATATATATATATATATATATATATATATATATATATATATATATATATATAGAGTTATTCTTCTTCCTTGAAGATCGTGTAGGGCGAGAATGGCATCAGATCGGAAGTTATGTGATCACTGTATGCAAATTAGCCGCCAGAACGGAACTCCGGTCGAGATGGCGACGAAGTGAAGAAGCTGTCCCCCCCCCCCCCCCACATCCTTCCCCCCCCCCCACATCCTTCCCCCCCCCCCCATTCCCTCCCACGCCTTCCTTCCCTCTCCTCTCCCACTCCATCTCTCCCTCTACCCCCCCCCCCTCGCACCAGACGTCGGTGTAAGATCCAAACCAAACAGCCCGAAGAACAATCATAGATAATGACTGATCAGAGCAACAGAGACGTGGGATCCCTTGTTGTTTCCAGCGTAGGTTAGACAAACTTGTGCATGAGTTTGGGTGGATATCAATAGCAGCTGCCTCGTGTGAGTCAATAGACCTTCTTCAATCTGTTTAATTATGTCTTTAATGTTGAGGCAAGAAACAAGAAGCACTTAGTGGGCCAGGTAGAGGCTAACGATGTACTAAGTTGACTGAACCTAACGTAACCAAGTCCCCCACACATAGAAAACGGGACATCTCATCCCTTTTGCAAGCAACTATGAATTTGAGTACATCTTATTACGTTACGTTATCATGCGATGTGTTATGCGAGAGGACAGGTTGGTATGGTGGTGCTGGGGGCCGGGATATGTGCTGAGGGCCCGGGGTATGTGGTGGTGCTGGGGGCCGGGGTATGTGGTGGTGGTGGGGGGCCGGGGTATGTGTTAGGGGCCCGGGGTATGTGCTGGTGCTGGGGGCCGGGGTATGTGGCCGTGCTGGGGGGCCGGGGTATGTGGCCGTGCTGGGGGGCCGGGATGCCGTGCTCACTGTTCACCGCGGTTGTCACTATTAAGAAGAAGGAGGAGGATCATTTACACGCCAACGGCATGTAGGCGGAATTCCTGGCCCAGAGCGGCGACCTGACGGATGGGACCCGAACACTTGCTAACAGACACGGAAGTTGCTTGCTGGCTCCGTGTCTTGTGGGGGAGCTGGGGAAGAGAGGGATGAAGGGGGGAAGGGAAGAGGGGTTGAAGGGGGGAAGGGAAGAGGGGTTGAAGGGGAGAAGGGAAGAGGGGTTGAAGGGGGGAAGAAGAGAGGGTTGAAGAGCGGAAGAGAGAAGGCAGCTCGTGTGGAGGCTGTCAAGAAAGGCTTCGTCTTTATCGTCAAATCTATATATATAAAGAATGGTATTGAGAAGACTTAAGTTTTCAACACCATTTTCCAAGATGAGTGAATCTTCAGCCTGTGTGCTAGGCGAGGCGAGCGTCACGGGTCTGTCAGTCAAGGACGAGCCGTCACGGGTCTGTCAGTCAAGGACGAGCCGTCACGGGTCTGTCAGTCAAGGACGAGCCGTCACGGGTCTGTCAGTCAAGGACGAGCCGTCACGAAACTGTCAGTCAAGGACGAGCCGTCACGAAACTGTCACTCAAGGACGAGCCGTCACGAAACTGTCAGTCAAGGACGAGCCGTCACGGGTCTGTCAGTCAAGGACGAGCCGTCACGGGTCTGTCAGTCAAGGACGAGCCGTCACGAAACTGTCACTCGAAGGACGAGCCGTCACGAAACTGTCACTCAAGGACGAGCCGTCACGAAACTGTCAGTCAAGGACGAGCCGTCACGAAACTGTCACTCAAGGACGAGCCGTCACGAAACTGTCAGTCAAGGACGAGCCGTCACGAAACTGTCACTCGAAGGACAAGTTTCTCAAACGTCTCGTCACACTTCCCATCCTGGTGACGTCACCCCACATAATACTTCATGTATTTTTGCGATCAATTTCCTTTTTCACATATGAGAAATCCTATACAAAAAATCACAAATCCTACACAAAAAATCCCATTAACATGATACATCGGTGAGAAAATCAATGGAAATCCTGAGGAGGATTCGACCCTGGATGTTTTATCTTCAGTAATCCCACGTGACGGCAGACTATTGCCAAGACGGAGATTAAAATTGACTTGGATGTCACTTTGAAGGTTTTCCTTCACGTTTGCCTTCAATTAGGTTCAATACTTCTCTATTTCCTTAATTATAATTTCGTGTAATACGTAAAGAAATTTGAGGCATTTTTGTATCTGGTTGAGAAACGAATTAAGATATTCATTTGCAAGTCCGAGGATGCAACACGTCCTCTTGCAAGTCCGAGGATGCAACACGTCCTCTAGCAAGCCCAAGAATGCAACACGTCCTCTAGCAAGCCCAAGAATGCAACACGTCTTCAAGCAAGTCCAAGAATGCAACACGTCCTCTAGCAAGCCCAAGAATGCAACACGTCTTCTAGCAAGCCCAAGAATGCAACACGTCCTCTAACAAGTCCAAGAATGCAACACGTCCTCTAGCAAGCCCAAGAATGCAACACGTCTTCTAGCAAGCCCAAGAATGCAACACGTCCTCTTGCAAACCCAAGAATGCAACACGTCTTCTAGCAAGTCCAAGAATGCAACACGTCCTCTAACAAGTCCAAGAATGCAACACGTCCTCTTGCAAGTCCAAGAATGCAACACGTCTTCTAGCAAGTCCAAGAATGCAACACGTCCTCTAACAAGTCCAAGAATGCAACACGTCCTCTTGCAAGTCCAAGAATGCAACACGTCCTCTAACAAGCCCAAGAATGCAGCACGTCCTCACGGAGGCCGGAGGAGGACGCGCACATTACCAGCCTCGACAATATTTACACAAACAATGGCAGTGGTTGCTCGTTAACGTCTTGTGGCTCCCACAACGACGCCATCTGAGGCATTCCTCTGCCCTGACCCCCGTGGGGCGCCCTGGGGGCCCAGGCGGGGGTAGGGACGGAGAGGGAAAGGGACGGTGAAGGGGTGATGGGAGATGCCGGAGAAGAGAGGGGTGAGGGTGACTGAAGGGAGGGGGATGTGGAGAGGAAGGGGATTCTGAAAGAGAGGGGGAGTACTGAGACCAGAAAAGAAAGGGGGGATAGGAAGTGGGTTGGAGGGTGATGGGGGATAGGGGAAATGGAAGGGAATGGAGGAAGGGGGGGGGCATAGTGGAAGGGGTGAGAAGGGAGGAATAGGAGAGGGCAAAAAGGGGGGAGGTAAGTGTGGGGTGGCAGGGGGGGGCAAGAGAGAGAGATACACAAATTTAAGATACATAAAAAATTTAACCCGACATTGATGTTATATATTGAGGTTGTCTCAACAGAATCATATTTGATTGACATTCTATAGGATTACTGTTACAAACTGCGCGTTCACGCTTCAACGTGAAGCGTCTGGCCGAGCTGGGGTGGAGGAGCTGGGGTGGAGGAGCTGGGGTGGAGGAGCTGGGGCGGAGGAGCTGGGGCGGAGGAGCTGGGGTGGAGGAGCTGGGGTGGAGGAGCTGGGGCGGAGGAGCTGGGGCGGAGGAGCTGGGGTGGAGGAGCTGGGGTGGAGGAGCTGGGGCGGAGGAGCTGGGGCGGAGGAGCTGGGGCGGAGGAGCTGGGGCGGAGGAGCTGGGGCGGAGGAGCTGGGGTGGAGGAGCTGGGGCGGAGGAGCTGGGGCGGAGGAGCTGGGGCGGAGGAGCTGGGGCGGAGGAGCTGGAGTGGAGGAGCTGGGGTGGAAGAGCTGGGGTGGAGGAGCTGGGGTGGAGGAGCTGGGGCGGAGGAGCTGGGGCGGAGGAGCTGGGGCGGAGGAGCTGGGGTAGAGGAGCTGGGGTAGAGGAGCTGGGGTGGAGGAGCTGGGGTAGAGGAGCTGGGGTGGAGGAGCTGGGGTGGAGGAGCTAGGGTAGCCGAGCTGGGGTGGAGGAGCTGGGGCTAACTTGGCAATGAAAGGACAAGATACGTTTCCGTTCATGACTTCTCGAGGCAGCTAGCGACCCTCTGCTTCCCCCTCTATCCTCTATTACTGCCTCCCGTCTATCCTCTATTACTGCCTCTCGTCTATCCTGTCACTGCTTTCTGTGCCTCTCGCTGTGGAAACAAGTTGCTGGGCCGAGACCTGGCTCACCAGTAAAGCTCTGCAGTGCGTGTGTGGTATTGTGTGGCCGAGCGGAGGGCAAACTTACAACTCATGAAATCGGGCGTAAATCTGTCAAGGGAGAGAGCGCTGCTG